TGGGAGTTTAATGGCTTTTGGAAGCTATAGCTGCTTTTAGAGCATCAAAAGAAATTTTTCCCCAGTATATTAGGCCCTTCTTCTAAAGTGGACTATCTGTCTCAAGCACATTTACACTGAACCATACGGGCTAGATCAGCTACATGGTGAAAAAAAAATGGGGAAGAAGCTCAAAGTAAATAATGAGGTAGATGCCTATTGCAGTGTGCTACAACTATCAAATTTCTCTTGTACTATTCTTTATGATGTTTACCACTATAAAGCAACTTCTGAAATTGACTTGTGTCTTCAATGTTGCATGGAAATTTCCTTTAAAAATCTACTGTCCTATTAGCTGATAAGTAACATAGCTGCTGCACCTAGAGTAAAGCATTTAGAATACAAACATGAAACCAAATATTAAAAAAAAGTACCAAAAAGATTTTCTGTGAACAAGAAACACACAGTGTCTTAATGTCTGTCACAACCAGGGAAGGGTGGTGTGTGTGAGCCAGTCTTTCATAACCAGGGACATCTGGGGATTACTGGTCAAGCAAAGGTGAACATCACAATTTTTTTCTGCCTTCTCCAAAACACACTCTGTGCCTAAGTACTATCAAACAAGAACAAGCCAGGGCAACAGTGAAAGCTTTTCTCTCCTTTTTATCTGGGAAAAGACTCTCTGTTTTCTTCATCACAGTTCAAATGTTGTGAAGAACGACCTCTTCAGTTGTCAAACTACTTAAAAATTTCAGTTGCTTTTTAGTCCTAGGCACTTCTCTCTATAAAGTGCCTGCTAAGGCCAGTTCTTAGGTCACTGGTAGCCCCTGTGAACTGACTGCAGTGAGGTAAAAAAGTCATCCATTTTACAGGTTTTTCACTGCAACTGAAATGCTTGAGTTATTTGCCATTACAGGATTGTACAATGATCATGGCAAAGAAATTGCGGCTTATACAGGAATCCATTTTCTGGCACTTTTTCACTGACTTTCAGAAACTCTGCCTGCATAAATATTGTCAAATCAAGCCTAAGCTTGACAACACAATTTGAATTCCAGTTGCATGCAACTTTTGCATTGGGGTGAAAGATGCAGGCAAATACCTCTGTCGTTTATCCTACAGCTACTTCACAGCTCCCCAGCAGCACAGGGAGCCCCTGTGAAAACTGGCTCCAGAATATTTGACAGGTCTCAAAGTTTTCATTTTATAGAACTTAAATATCTCAAAAACATACATCTGAATTTTTCAGTTTAACTCTACCATTACTCAGATGCATAATCCTCTCTCTAAAAAAGAAAATATGTGTTCAGTATTGGTCTGCACTCCTCCACCAACAGAACAAAATCTGGAATTAATTCTATGTGTCCACTTGAAACATGGTTTTATTCTGTGTGAGTCTCTTTTCTCCTCTCTTTACCACCCCTCTTATCTCTATACATTAGAGATACATATCATGGTAGCTATAAGAAGCATTTAGCTGCATGTCTGTAGAATTTCATATCCTTAAGATGGAGACCAGGGCCTGATTTTAATCACATTTATATTGGATACAAAACCAAAATCAAGGCTCCTGTCTTTGGTTTCTTGTTAAGCAATATGCACTTAATGTGAAAGAAAATAAATACTTTGTAAGCCCATTTGGTTAATACCAAGGACTAATTATTTCTTCAAGTTTGCAGGATCAGACCCATTTATAAAATGTTACTGTTTTATTGTTATTTTAAATATAAACCCTATGACTACACAGTGATAGTGTATATGGTCATTAATGTGAACATACACACTGATTAATCTATTAAAATATGAACACATGAGTAAACACATTTGCTTACGGATATTAATAAACTAAGAGTCAGTTTTATTTTTAGGAAGAAGGCTTTTTTACTGGTGTAAATACAGTGACACAGTCGAACTTAACAGTCACCTGCTAGATTTTGATAGTCCAAATTGAAGTGGAACTATATCCTACTAAAAAGGCAACCCCGTGCTTGAAACTGAAAAAGAAGAGAAAGTTTGTGTAACACTACAGTATATCTGTCTAATTTGGAATATACTGATAGAACACACATAAGCTTGAAAAAAAAAATCTGCTTTTCTGGTGAAAATGGACTTTATGAATTTTTACTCTAGACTGTTGGGGAAAAAATTTAAAACTAATGCTTATAAATGCTATTTGTTGTATAATCTCTGTGAAACACAGCATATTTATTTACCAATTTAATAACTTTGTCTTTAATTCTAAAGTGAAATGGCATTTGGTAATTAAATTATTGTCATTTTTAAATCCCTTTGGTTTCTGAGGTGCTATTGTGTATATACATTTTTTCCCTTTTAAAGTGTATGCCCATACTATACTATGTCATATTTAGATGAATCATGACAAACAACATTTTTCACAATGGGAAATGTTTACATGGTACATTCCTCTCTTTGGAAAAATAAAAGAAATTATCACAGAAAACACATTTTAATTTAATTATATTCTTTAGGTCATTAAAGTGATGTAATGTGCATGTCAGTCCTCTTTTCATTCATAGATTACTTTAATCTTTCATGTGCATTTTTTTTTTCCTCTGGCTTTCTTCATACTTGCTTTGTTTTGAAATTGCATGCTGTCTGGATTATTTGTGCATGACCTTCACATTAATTTCACATTGAATGTTTACATACTCTGAGAGATCATTTATTCTACATGTGCTTTTTTTTTTTCCTTTGTTTTCAGTTACTGAACTTTAAATATGCTTGAAATGTAAAAGTGGCATGAAACTTTGGTGACACAAGTAGACAACTACATTAATACAGATTTTCAGTACATATCTTCACATCTTTTGGAAATATATATTCTAAACCACATCTTATGCTGTGCTTTCAAAATATAAGAAAATTAATTACATTTTGAAATTTTAAATCCATTCCATTTCAGAATTGGAGCTAAATACTGGTTATAATTCATTTGAGCAATGACAAACACATGAGATTATTGGTCCTTTAAATGAGTTGAGAAGGTCTCTTGGAGTTGATCACTTGCAAAGTCCTGTGTCTGGGCATTTCATATGTTCAGTATAGAAAACAGTGTAGGACATTGATGGAGAACACAGATCAGATAAGGACCATCTGCAGGTTTGCACAGATGCCCTGGAAATGCTACCTTGTCTTGATTTTACTGTATTTGGATCCTAATTCATCATTTAGTATCTGAAATACATGTCCCAAGTAGGCATATCCTGCTTTTAGATAGTACAGTGCTACAAGTTCCTGTGACTGTCTATAAAGTATAAGATTTTATTGTGTAAAAAAGCATATTTTTCCATATTAATTGCCTATTTGAAGAATTAAAGCACTATATGTTGCTGAGCTTGCAATGAAATACTGCTTATCTACCTCTAAATTACATAAAACTAAAAGCATATCCATAGGACCCTGATGAGAAAGTAGACGTGTAAAAAATAAAATGAAGGTTTTTTTCTTTTGATTATGAAAAAAAAAAAAAAGCATTACAACATACCTTAAAAGTTGTTGATTAAGAGACCAAATAAAACACTATGAAAACAGCAGCAGTTACCAGAAAAAAATATTTTCTTTCAATTGGCACAGGACTGAATTCACATACCTACTACAAGTAAATCAAAAGCTCCCACTTTACAGCCTATTCTTTTTTAGCCAGTTAATTAATACTGTGCACAGTCTGCTATGATTAAAGATGAGTGGCTTGATCTCAAAGCATGCTGAGTCATGTGTAGCCCTTTATCTGAATAAGCCAAACACGACAGTTTCCAAATAAGTAGCTGAAGGTTGTGATTTGGAACCTCTGTAATCAAATTGATCCAGTCTCCAGGGGCTTTGCCTTCAGCCTGCAGACCTCACCACAGCCACCTCTGATTCTTTGCAGCCACTTGGTTTGGACTGATTTGAGTCACTACAGTTCTCTCCACTTTTACAAACTAGTTGTTTTGTCAGCATGAGTGTGACAACAATTAGACGTCCCTGTTTTTGCCCCATGCCTTTTCTCCTTCACAGTCATTCAATGACAAGCGTAAAAAGAACTTCATCTTTTCACGAAAATTCCCATTCTACAAGAGCAAGGAGCAGAGTGAGCAGGAAACAAGTGATGCAGAACGTAAGTAACCTCTTGGAGACGATGTCACATGCAGCAGCACACAAAAAAAATGGGTGACACGCATGATGCCAGTATCCCACACATCTAGGCAAAAATCTGTCGTAGGCAGGCAGGAGAGGTATTACTACTGTGACCAATGTGTGACTGCAGTTTGGATCCAGCTGGTCCTTCCTTCCCTGGAAACAGCATTTCCAGAAGAATAAAACAGTGGCCTTGACTTTTCAAAGAGCAAACATGGCTCCTCAAAGTTGTTGTGGCACCTGCCATAAATCCAAAAATGTGTCTGATTAAATATTCCCAGATCAGAACTGGCTGAAAATAATGCAAACGTGATTTCTTTCACAACACTAAACTAAATTATTACTTTTTAAAAGTTCTGCTGTAATCTCTTTATTTGGCTTTGACATTCTCCAAGATGATGACCATGGGCAGCTTCACTGAAAGTTTAACCCATAAATGAAGCATTTGTGCTAACAGTTTAACAAGTAAATCAGATCTTGGAATGTGTACCTCCCTGGATATTTACTCTGTCTTTAAATTGTACGTAGAACACACATTATGACAATTGTATGCTGAATCCCAGCCTAAATATTCACTTTTTTTTTCTTAATAATTCTCTCCTAAATTTATTTGTTGAGGATGGCTTCTGGGACTTTATTTATCTGGTTGTTCCTTCATCCTCACAGCTCCAAAAGCCATGTGTCATGGTCACTGCCTCTTTCATTGGCTGCACTCCCATAGAATATGGGTTTAAAGTTGTTTCCGAAAGAAAAAGCAGGGATCCAGATTGCTCAATCAACATGGTCAGTCATGGTAGTATCCATTTCAACTCCACTGACTTCTTCCTTCCTCTTCTGCGGCTGTTCTTCCTTTCTCATTGCTCTCTCTGGGGACTTCCATGCAGGACATCCCCGGATTAGGTGACGACGGTTATGGAACAAAGACTCTGAGTAAGTTCCCAGGAATGGTCACTGTAAATTTTTTTTTATTTTTTTATATTTTTTTTTTGTTCGTTTGGTTTGGTTTTGGCTTCTGTTCCTTCTCTGAGGACCCTCCACTCCTAGCATGCACAAGACAGAGTTTTATTTGTTACCCAGCTGTGAATGCATTAAAAATGTTTTGATCATTTTGTTCTGCATGATGATATTAAATAACATACAGTGTATCAAGCAGACACTTTCACTTCTTTTGTAACAACACCTTTCGTTTCTGACAGTATGTTCTTGTTCCCATCCTGGCAGTTCTGTAGAGTAGCATACTTAGAACTCGTTTTGCTGCCTAGACCATTCTTTTCAGCAACAATCCCTCCCTCTCCATCTCAAGGGAAAGTTAAACATTTTAACCTGATCACAGCCCGAGGATATCAATAGAAAACTATTTCACGCTGTTGCTTCTGCATTTTCAGCTTTTTGCATGGGAGTGTTTGTTACTTTGCTGGATTCTAGATTAGTATTTGTTATTCATGGAAGAAGTTGTTTACAGGCTAGAGAAGACCATGCCTTCTCCAAAGCTAATCTTGGACCCCATTTCACCATTAGCAACCTATTCTCTGTCATGCAACCTTAATCAATCTCTTTTTCTGATGCAGCAATCCTGTCTCAAGACTGGGCATTGCGGAACGTGTAACGTGTCAGATCATTGTTCAGAAATGGTTTTGCTTCCTCCGAAGTTAGACTAGAAAAATTGTATAGAGTGACATATTTGCAGCTGATTCCTGTATAAATAACTGTTATATTCTGTATCCAGAGCTAAACAATTTTAACAAAATGCCACTTGCATGCATTTGGCTGCTGCTTCCTGGGTTCTTATTCTTTTTGTCTTAAGTGCCAAATAATTGGAGCAGAATGTGTGTGGATGTTAACGCTGCATCGCCGGCTGCTTTGTATGTGCTTTTTAATTGCAGGATTGCACATCCATGCAAACAATTTTAGAGATTATTCTGGTTTTGACTGATTTGTTGAAGGGACATTTTAATAGTTTCACTTTAAGCCATACAGCAGCTCGCAGTTTAAAGATGAAAGCTTTGTCTCTTGTATGTTCTGCAAGGCTGGCTTTGTCAGTGATAGCAGTTGTCACTGCCACCTGAATTGTAAGGATTGTTACTTCAAGTAAAGTGTCATAGCAGCTCAATAGCCACAAATGCAGATTCTTCCCCACTAAAGAGAAGTAAAATACTTCTGATCTGATAACCTTCCTGAATATCTGTGTCCTCAGAAAGACAAATCTCCAGAATATCCAAATGTATGAAAGGACATAACTGAATTGTGCAAATTACTAAGGGAAAAGTAGCACAGGGGTTATATGTAAGCTCTAGTTTCTCTGTTAGTATTGCACTTACCTTTCACTTACTGATACACCTCCAGACATTCCCACCCATCCAAATTTCACTAATTTTCAACTCAGATATGCTTTATAATGGCAGTTCTTACTATGAAGGATATTTGTTCTTATTTAATAAAGTTCTTCGAGGTCATGTATAGCATATTAGTTTGAGACAACCCTTGTCAACTTGCTATGAAATATTCAAATGTCAGTATGTTTTTTTTAAAATGTAAGATTAATATTTTAAAACTTCTTACTAAACCCAAGATCAAAATTATCTATTAATATTTCTACCAAATATCATCCCCTCTCACTTCTGCTGCTCCAGTAACTCCCTCTGTCCCGCTCTATGAACCCTAAGCCAGTACATGGGGGAAATGCAGCACCTTGCAGAGAAGAGGTGGTCTTGGCACTGTTCCTATAGTCACCCTTTTATGACATCCATTCTGGGTTCATCTCAGAGGATTCTTGCCTTTTATGAGTTCCTTCTTCCACTGGGAATGTTTAGAGGCAGTTGCAGGTGAGTGTTATGGGTCACCACCCACAGCCTAATCTGCCCATTGGTTTAATGAAAAATCTTGGATCAATTTTGTCTCCTGGTGTTTGTCAGGAGGTGACTTTTTTTTACCCATTGTCCATTTAACCCGTATCTCATTAACCCAAGGTGGTTCCCCACTATATAGCCATTATATCATTGGCTTCTAAATGTCCTGGACCAGCTGAAAAGTTTCAGCTGTCAAATGATCTTTCAGGTGCAAAACAGTCAACATTTCTACTACAGGGACTACTAACACCACCGTTTAATGTGGTTCTACAGACCTCCTGGAGACCACATAGCATGTTTTGGCTGACCATAAGCATATGCTGACTAGATGGAAAGAGCAACTTCACATGGTATAGATTGCACCTTCCTTTAAATAATACCATAATAGAAATAGGACACTAGACTTGCCAAACCACAGGTCTGCCCCATCATGTTAGTTCTTATATTCCTATTCACCCATCCAGACTGGTCTGGTAAAGGTTTTCGTGCTCTAGCTCAAATTCTGAGGCTAAGTAATGTCTGAAAAAAAATTCTTCCATATTTTTCTTAGTTTTGTCATTAGTTTTGTCTTCTTTTTTTTTCTTTTGATGGGGTAAAAGAGATAGTTACAGTATTTGTTATCAAAATAATTTTCATGCTAATTTTTCAACCCTATAAGAGACTGCATAATGTTTAATAATAGATACAGGTTAAAATTTCACAGGAATAGATCCAATGATGCACTTTAGTGATAGTGCAGAATAATATGAGCAGACACTCAGGTTTCATGAAATTACTCAGGACATTCAGTGAGATGCAAATGGGCCATAATATACTTTGAAATGAAGTTGAGATGTCATGAAATGTCTCTTCAATAAAAGACATGGCATTGCCCTGATGCATATCACTAGCTAATACATACTCTCTCTCTGGAATGCCACAAGAGATAAAGCTTTCATCTTACCTGTGTAAATTATCTGAGAGTTTTCAGGTGATGTCAGTGCATAATTTTTATTTCCTCTCTGCACAACAACCTTTGCATGAGTGTGGCAGTTCTTTTAAGTTTCTGCAGCTCTCTGGTGCTTGGTTTTGTTCTTTAATTTGCTGTACTGTTCTTGCAGAACATGTTTCTTCTAATGCCAGCGATAGTGAAAGTAGCTACAGTAAGTTACTGCTTTCATTAGTCCTTTTACTTTGCATTGCTTGTTCTGTTTGTTCCTTTTATTTTGTTTCTATCCTTGCTACTCTTTTGTTGACGTTAAAAAGGCATTTGGAGCAAATGGCTTGGAATTCAAATTTACAACCACATCTTGAGTGCAAAGCTATAAAAGAAAACTGGCAACCTTTAGAAGGAAAGGGAGGAAAGTTGCTATTTGGGATGTATTCTGGGACATAAAATCAAACCTGGCTTTGGATAGCCTGTGACAGCCAGAATTAGGTGGTTTAGTGATTAAAAGTTTCTTTCAGGAGAGGAGGGGCAGTTTCTTCATAATCTTTTAAGAGTAAACTTACTCCACAGTTATAGGAGAGGATGCAAAAGGCATCCTCTTGACAAGGTCACTGCTTTTACTTCTATTTCTGCATGCTTATATGAAGGGCTAATAAATAGTCACCAAATATTTGTTGAGTCCCTAATTTTGGCAGTGTAGGTTTCTTAATGCATATTGAAGTCTTTAAAAAAAAAAAGGTAAGATAGACCTTCACCCCTTAGACACTGCCACTGAATGTCACTGCTTCCCTGTAAGTGGAGGCCCCAGCCCTGCAACCTGATCTGATAGGAATTACAGACTCCATGGCGTCATATAGCAAGGCATATTGTACATTCTGGATGATTATTAGTAATACCCAAAAATGTAACCTAAAAATGTAACTATTTACTGGAAGTGTTGAAAAGCAAAAGAAAACAGCATTAAATTAATAGCTTTAAGTGTAATAAAAGGTAATTAAAATCAAAGATTGCTTGCTCAATCACCCAGTTGTTTAATTTTTTTCAAGCCATTTGCCTAGCAAATCAAGTTTTCCACCAGTCACTCAGCACTTGTGCTAAGCACCCACATACATTCAGGTAATCATTGGTATCATACCTCGTATTTACTAGTCTTGAACTAGTGAATAGCAGTTGAGCTCTGTTAATAACCACTGGTTTGTTTCAGGAAAGCAGCTAATCTTATGCAATTCAGAAATGGTAAATTAGTTTGTATTCTCTTGTACTGCAAAGGTTTCCTTGGAAAGCAATTGCCAGAGTCACAAGAAAACAGTAGGTGCTCTTGAACTGCCAAGATCCAACTCTGAACCTCTTTATTTTTAATGTGTCCTCTGCTGAGGAGGAGAGGAGGATTTTATGTTTGAAATATAAGATGCTCTTTCCCCAGACTGATTTTGCAATTAGGAATGAGTCAATAGATTAAATTTTCAAAAGTTTGCATGAGTCAGATCTCCTCCAGGTGTGGTTATTTCAGGGTGAGCTCAGGGTAAAAGCTTAGAGGAGAATCTAGTCTGGTGCCTGAGCATATCCTATGACTGATGCAATATCCCAAACAGGAGACTTTAACAGGGGTGCCCAGTTCCAGCCAAATATCCAGGGCAGAGGCACAATGGCTGGTTCCCAAATTTCATCATATGACAGGTCAGATAGACAGCTCCTTGTTGGCTGTGCAATAGCTTGGAGCAAAGTATATGTTTAGAGGTGCAAGTAAGGGGATAGAAACGGTTTGAGGAAGTTAATTGGGACATAGATCTTGAAAGGAAAAGCAGTGTTGGGGTAACAACTGCCCATGGCAGGCACTCTCCTTCTAGAGTGGTTTCCATCTGGCCACGCTCCTGTCTCACCCCAGAAGCATCCAGCCTACATTCTGTTGGCTGGAGATCCCCACACATTACTGGTGTGACCCATCCCTGCTGCCTAATGGAGAAGATGCAAGCAGGGCTTCCTTCCCTGCCCGTGGGAGAGCTATGTCAGTTAGGAGCAGAGGAAGCCAATCTTATGTTATCCCAAATGAAACTGGCTTTAAAATCCAGGACCTGGTGCCCAAAAGCACTAATTCCGTTTGCTAAGGATTCATTGATGTGTGCTGACATGACATTTCACCCTGGGCAACTAGCAGT